AAAAAAAAAAAAAGCTGGTTCTTTGAAAAGGTAAACAAAACTGTTAGACCATTAGCAAGAGTAACCTAAAAATGAAGAGAGAAGATTCAAATAAGCTCAGTTAGAAATGAAACGGGAGGACAGGCATTGTGGTTTACTCCTGTAATCCCAGCACTTTGGGAAGCTAAGGCGGGTGGGTCACTTGAGGTCAGGAGTTTGAGACCAGCCTGGCCAACATGGCAAAAACCCATTTCTACTAAAAATACAAAAATTAGCCACGCATAGCCAGACATGATGGCAGGCACCTGTAGTCCCAGCTAATCAGGAGGCCGAGGCACAAGAATCACTTGAACCTGGGAGGCAGAGGTTACAGTGAGCTGGGATTATGTCACTGCACTCCAGCATGGGCAAAAGAGCAATACTCTATCTCAAAAAGAAAAGAAAAAAGAAAAAGAAAAGATAAAAAAGAAAAAGAAAAATGAAGTGGGAGATACTACAACCAATACCACAGAAACACAAAAGATCATTCAAAGCTGCTATGAACACCTTTATGTGCACAAACTAGAAAATCTAGAGGAGATGGATACTTTTCTGGAAATAAACAACCCTTCTAGATTTAATTGGGAAGAAATAGAAGCTCCAAACAGACCAATAACAAGTAGCAAGATTGAAACTGTAATTTAAAAATTGCCAATAAGAAAAACTCCAGGACCAGATGGATTCACAGCTGATTTCTATCAGGCATTCAAAGAATTGGTACCAATCTTACTGAAACTATTCCAAAAGACAAAGAAAAATATGGAGGCATCACATTACCCAACATCAAACTATACTTCAAGGCTATAGTTACCAAAACAGCATGATACTGGTATAAAAATAGACACATAGACGAATGGAACAGAATAGAGAACCCAGAATAAAGTCAAATATTTACAGTCAACTGATCTTCGACAAAGCAAAAAGAAAAAAAAAAAACATAAGTGAAGAAAAGATACCCTGTTCAACAAATGGTGCTGGGATAATTGGCAAGCCACATGTAGAAGTATGAAGCTGGATCCTCACCTGTCACCTTACAGAGAAATCAACTGAAGATGGATCAAGGACCTAAATCTAAGACCTGAAACCATAAAAATTCTGGAAGATAACATCAAAAAACAATTCTAGACATTGGCTTAGGCAAAGAGTTCATGACCAAAAACCTAAAAACAAAAACAAAAATAAATAGATATGGCCTAATTAAACTAAAAAGCTTCTGCACAGCAAAAGAAATAATCAGCAGAGTAAAAACAGACAGCACACAGGGTGGGAGAAAATCTTCACAAACAATGCTTCTGACAAAGGACTAATATCCAGAATCTACAAGGAACTCAGACAAATCAGCAAGAAAAAAAAAATAATAACCCCATTGGAAAGTGGGCTAAGGACATGAATAGACAATTCTCAAAAGAAGATATACAAATGGCCAACAAATATATGAAAAAATGCCCAACATCACTAATTATCAGGGAAATGCAAATCAAGGCCATAGTGACATACCACATTACTCCTACAAGAATGGTCATAATTTAAAAATTTTTTAAAAATAAATGTTAACATGGAAGTGATGAAAAGGAAACACTTTAACACTGCTGGTTGGAATATAAACCAGTACAATCACTGTGGAAAACAGTATGGCAATTCCTTAAAGAATTAAAGTAAAATTACCATTTGATCCAGTAATCCCACTACCGGGTATCTATCCAGAGGAAAAGAAATCATTATTTGAAAAAGACAGTTGCACACACATGTTTATAGCAGTACAATTCATAATTGAAAAAATATAGAACCAGCCTAAATGCCATATATATATACACACACATATACACACACACACACCGTGGAATACTACTCAGCCACAAAAAGGAATGAAATAATGGTTTTCACAGCAGCCTGGATGGAGTTGGAGACCATCATTCTAAGTGAAGTAAATCAGGAATGGAAAACCAAACGTTGTATGTTCTCACTTATAAGTGGGAGCTAAATTATAAAAACACAAAGGCATAAGAATGATATAATGGACTTTGGAAAGTTGGGGGTAAGGTGGGAGGGAAATGAGAAATAAAAGACTACACATTGGGTACAGTGTACACTGCTCGGGTAATGGGTGCACCAAAACCTCAGAAATCACTAAAGAACTTTTCCATGGAGCCAGACACCAACTGTTCCACAACAACTTTTGGAATAAAAAAAATTTTTAAAGATAAAACAGACATTTTAAAAAGACTGGAGTTCTTAACCTAGGGTCTGTGGGTAAAATTCAAGGATATGTAAACTTAATTGGAAAATAATCCCAAATTTATTTTCACTAACTTTTAACTGAAATTTATTATTTCCTTTAATAAGCAATTAATATAGGCAGCAAACCACAATAATATTAGCAATACCTTGACTTTGTCACCAAAAGAAATGAAGATGTATTCATATCACATTACAGTTTTACATATCTTTACATGCTTATCACTGTTCCAAAATTATGGTAGTTATTAAACCAGCTACTAGTTCTGCTTTTGTTTTTTGAGACAGAGTCTCACTCTGTCACCCAGGCTAGAGTGTAGTGACATGATCTCAGCTCACTGTAATCTCCACCTCCCAGGTTGGAGTGATTCTCCTGCCTCAGCCTCCAAAGTAGCTGGGGCTACAGGTGCATGCCACCACTCCCAGCTAATTTTTGTATTTTGTATTTACATCTACTGTATTGATTAATATACTACATTATTTATTATTTTTAGTTAGCTGTAAGAAAATCAATCATTATATATGTCATCTAGCCTGGTGCTACCCATTAGAAACATAATGGAAGCCACACGTGGAGCTTTAAATTTTCTAAAAGCCACATATTTTACATTTAGTTTTTAATATTAAATCTTTAAAATTTACTGTATGTTTTATACTTGCAGTATATATATCAATTTGGACTAGCTTCATTTCAAGTGGCTGCCATATTGAATGGTGCAGATGTAGCCATTTCTTTGGACATTGGGCTATTTCTAGATTTACTGTAAGGATATTTGGAACTGCCATAAACATTTCCATTTTTTAATGAACTGCTAGTCTGGTACTCCCATAGCACTCTGAACAGGTGAGTAGCATCCTTTACCATTACATATTATAGCTATATGAATAGCTATTATATATAGATAATTTTTCTATCTCCCCCATTAAACAATATACTCCAGAGGGCAGGGACCATATTGTATTATTTGTTTGGCCTCAGCACTTATCAGCACCCTACAAATGTCTGTTGACTTCTCCCAAATGATAGTTTAATTCTTCAAAATTTTTTAGAAGCTGAAGAAACTGATAATGAGGATGAAGAGGAGATTGAAGGTGATGAGTTAGAAGTTCACGAAGAACCTGAGGCATCTCAAGATACCCGAGGCTCATTGTTACCTGAGGAGTCTGAAGCATCTGAGGTCCCTGAAAGTGAGCCTGAAGCAGGTTAGACTTGATTGAGAGCATGTTCTTAATTCTACTCCTGTGCATTAATGTGCCTGTTTGGGCATGTGTGTATGTATATATGCTGGTAAAATGGAACCTGAATGAGAATGGAGAGATGAGCCCCCAGGGAGCAGGCACTGAGTCCAAATCCCACAGTTTTGAGTGTGGTAGGAAAGTGGAGTCTGCTCTGCTCCGGCACTGGCATGAGCACAGCTGGTTATGTAATTTTGGGGGCATGTTGTTCAAATAGCAGGAAAAAAAGGTCACTAAAGGTAGTAAAATATAACGCTTTTTCCTTTCTTCCATAGTATCTCTCTCTGTCATCGTGTTTTTTTGTTGTTGTTGTTGTTTGCTGTTTATTATTGCTCTTAGTAAAGAAAAATTAAATTAAAAATTTGAATTATTAGCATGAATTTTACAGCTCCTCTTTATGGTGTGCAATGCCATTTTTAAATGCAAATATAAGATCATTTTAAATGTAAATATAAGGGAATTAACTCTTTAAGCCCTACCTCAGAGGTCTCATTTGGTGGTTGGGGCAGGGGAAGAGGGCAACGAAAGCCACTGCAAGAACTAGAGAGTGCAGGAAGATAGGGTACCCACCTGTGATGGGAATGAGGCTTGTATGTGTTTTCAAGCAGAGTTAGTATTGAACCTGAAACTCATTCTACAAATAAAAGGTCTTCAGATACCTGTAACTATATGGTAGCCTGGAGCAGTTAAGGGCTTGGAAGTACTGTGAGCTTATAAAAGAAGCAGGACTAAGGGAAATTAATGAAAATTGCACAATTTATATTTCACAGCTCGTATGTGCAGGTGTTTCATCCTGACAAGTATATTGAGTTAGTTTGTGCAGCAAAACTTTTTTTCATTTTTTATTTCTCTTCTTAATATACACATATTCTCCAACACTCTTTACCTTTAGCTACCTTTACCTTTCCTTCTATGTCATCATTTTCGGCCTAAATGGTTGGCTAATACAGGAAAGTAACGGGAATAAGAAAGGATATTATGGGATTCCTTGGTCATTTGTGTTTCTCTGAATGTCATTGTTTACTTTCTGCATTTGAAACAAGTCCCAGTTCAAAGTAAAAGTGTGATCTCTAAGGCTGTCAGCATTCCCCACCTGCCCACTCAGTCATGCGTAACTCCTGCATATCATTGATCCACTGGAATTCTGCCCTCATGATGGCACATCAGGAATGTTCATGAGAATGAGATGTCAAGGAATGGCAAACACATATTATGCACATCTAAGAGCCCTAGTCTGGTTTGTTATAAAGATATCGAAGCCCCAAGCATCTTCTTTCCTCCTGTACTTCTCTCCACTACTTTTGATGAAGTATATGATTCCATCCTCACAATCCAAAGGTGGCTCCTGCATGTTTCCTCTTGCAAGCTTTTACTTTTTATTTCTAATTCAAGAAATAGTTCCCAGAGACTTTTGCCTACATTTCATTGAGCAGAATATTATATCATTGTCTACCCCTATCTGCAGGGAATCTGGGAATTTAATTTGGATTTGGCTTCCTTGCTAGATGGTAGAAGCCAATAGAATAGAAGAATAGGGGGGAGGGGTTGAGGGAGCCAACTAACAGTATCTCCCATACTTCCTTTGCACAGATGCAGGTTGCAGGAATGGAATGCCTAGGGGCAGGTTCATGATTTCACCTAAGAAATAAGGGATAATCTGCTTAAATTCTTAAACAAATGCTTAACTGAAACTTTAGAGTTTCACATAAAAGAGAAATATTTTTTCATAGTATAGGTGGTAGATCACCTGTATCAGAATCACCGATGGATCTTATTTTAAAATAAGGCTCTATGCAGGCTCTGGTTCAGTAAGTCTAGGATAGAATTTAGAAATCTGCATTTTAATGAACACCCCAGTGATTCTTATACATGCTAACAGTTGAGAACTACTGCTATAGGGAAAAAATTTTGCCTGAAAAATTAGGTTTGTAAATTATTTCTTATATTATAGAAAAAGCATAGTAGCATACCTGAGAAAAATCTGATTCTGAAAATAAAAATTCTAGAATGACTTAGCTGTATACTGTATCTGCAGATCAAAATTAACGAATATATTGAATAGAAATTTTGTAATAGAGATGGCATCTTGCTCTGTCACTCAGACTAGTATGCAGTGGTACAATCATAGCTCACTGTAACTCAAACTCCAGGGATCAAGTGATCTTCCCACCTCAGTCTCCCAAGTAGCTAGGACCACAGGCATGAGCCACCATGCCTGGCTAATTTTTATTTTTTGTAGAGATGTGGTCTTGCTATGTTGCCCAGGCTGGTCTTGAACTCCTGGCCTTAGGCGATCCTCCCACTTCTGCCTCCCAAAGGCTAGGATTACAGGCATGATCTACTGTGCCTGGCTTCATGGATACTTTAACAGAAACTCATTATAAGTAATGTGTAAAAGAAATCAGGAACAGGAAGGATCCAAGATGGTCGATTAGGAGCAGCTCAGGATTGCAGCTCCCAGCGAAAGTGCAGAGGGTGAGTAGACACCGCATTTCCAGACGGATTTTTATTGCCCACAGACCAGGAGATTCCCAGGTGGAGGAGCCCCATGGGTCGCCAGTGTGGCTGTTTTGGCTGGTGCAGATGTTTTGGCTGGCATCCCAGCATGGCAGTTCTCCATACAAAATACATGGATCCAGGTACCATTTTAGCTGGCGATTGGAGCTCCGGGAAGACAGAGTCACCCATTCAACTGATAGAAAAAGGGACTGAATCAGGGAGCCAGGCCAGGAGATTCCCAGGAAAAAAAGAGCCACAAATCTCAGTGCAGCTGTTTCAGCTGGCACAGTGGGTCACCGCATGGTAAATCACACAGATTCCAGCACCTTTTCAACAGGCAACTGGAACACCAAGGAGACAGTCAACCTTCCAACTAAAAAAAAAAAAAAAAACAAAGGCTCCGAGGCAGAGAGCCAGGTGATCAGGCTCAGCTGGTCCCACTCCCACAAAAAACAGCAATCTGAAATGCTCTGGATTGAGAGTTTCACAGCAACCACAGCTGAACCCTGGACGGTCCAGCTCCGTGGGGGATGGGCGTCCGCATTACCGAGGCACTCCACCACTACAGAGGTAGTCCACCATTGCTGAGGCAGCCCGTCATTGCCAAGGCAGCCTGCCATTACAAAGAGAGTACGCCATTACAGAAGCGGGCCGCCATTGCCGAGGCAGTTCTAACTATACCCATATAAACAGGACTGCAGGGAAGTTCACACGGCAGCTGGGCAGAGCCCACAGCAGCTCAGCAAAGCATCTGTGGCATACAGTGACTAGGCTGCCTCCTCGATGGGCAGGGCAGCCCTGAAAAAAGGCAGCAGTACAACAGAAACTCATAAATAAAACCCTAACACCCTGGGACAGAGCACTTGGGGAAAAAAAGGGGGAGTTATGAGTTCTGCTGTAGCAGATTAAACATACCTGCCCAGCATCTCTGAATTAACAATGGAGCTCACAGCTCAGCGCTTGAGCTCCTATAAAGGACAGACTGTCTCCTCAAGCATCTCCCTGACCCCCATATATCCAAAGAGTCACCTCATAAAGGAGAGCTCAGACTGACATCAGGCAGGTATCCTTCAGGGACAAAGATACCAGAAGAAGAAACTGGCAACAACCATTACTGTTCTGCAGCTGCTGCAGGTGATCCCCAGGCAAGCAGGGCCTGGAGTGGACTTCAGCAGTCCTACAGCAGAGGGGCCTGACTGGTAGAAGGAAAACTAAGAAACAGAAAGAAATAACTTCATCATCAACAAACTGGACATCCACTCAGAGACCCAATCTGAAGGACAACAACTACAAAGACGACAGGTGGATAAATACACAAAGATGGGAAGAAACAATTGCAAAAAGGATGAAAACACCCAAAACCAGAACACTCTCCTCCGACAAGGGATCACAACTCCTCACCAGCAAGGGAACAAGGCTGGATGGAGAATACGTGTGATGAATTGACAGAATCAGGCTTCAGAAGGTGGGTAATAAGAAACTTCTGTGAGCTAAAAGAACAAGTTCTAACCCAATGCAAAGATCTAAGAATCTTGAAAAAAGATTTGACAAAATGCTAATGAGAATAAACAACTTAGAGAGGAATATAAGTGAATTGATGGAGCTGAAAAACACAACACGAGAACTTCATGAAGCATACACAATTTTCAACAGCCAAATTGACCAAGCAGAAGAAAGGATATCAGAGGTCGAAGATCAACTCAATGAAATAAAACGAGAAGACAAGATTAGAGAAAAAAGGGTAAAAAGGAATGAACAAACTCTCCAAGAAATACGGGACTATGTGAAAAGACCTAATCCATGTTTCATAGGTGTACCTGAATGTAACGGAGAGAATGAATCCAAACTCGAAAATACTCTTCAGGATATTATCTAGGAAAACTTCCCCAACCTAGCAAGACAGGCCAATATTCAAGTCCAGGAAATACAGAGAACACCACAAAGATATTCCTCAAGGAGAGCAACCACAAGGCACATAATCGTCAGATTCACCAGGGTTGAAATGAAGAAGAAAATGCTAAGGGCAGCCAGAGAGAAAGGTTGGGCTACCCACAAAGGGAAGCCCATCAGACTCACAGCAGATCTCTCAGCAGAAACCCTATAAGCCAGAAGAGAGTGGGGGCCAATATTCAACATCCTTAAAGAAAAGACCTTTCAACCCAGAATTTCATATCCAGCCAAACTAAGCTTCATAAGTGAAGGGAAAATGAAATCCTTTACGAACAAGCAAGTACTCAGAGATTTCATCACCACCAGGCCTGCTTTACAAGAGCTCCTGAAAGAGGCACTAAACATAGAAAGGAACAACCAGTGCCAGCCACTCCAAAAATGTACCAAATGGTAAAGAGCATCAACACAATGAAGAAATTGCATCAACTAATGGGCAAAACAGCCAGCTAGCATCAAAATGGCAGGATCAAATTCACACATAACAATATTAACCCTAAATGCAAATGGGCTAAATGCCCCAATTAAAAGACACAGACAGGCAAATTGAATAAAAAGCCAAAACCCATAGGTGTGCTGTATCCAGGAAACCATCTGACATGCAAGGATGCACAAAGGCTCAAAATAAAGGGATGGAGGAAGATTTACCAAGCAAATGGAGAGCAAAAAAAGCAGGAGTTGCAATTCTCATCTCAGATAAAACAGACTTTAAACCAACAAATATCAAAAGAGACAAAGAAGGACATTACATAATGGTAAAAGGATCAATGCAACAAGAAGAGCTAATGATCCTAAATATATATGAACCCAATACAGAAGCACCCAGATACATAAAGCAAGTTCTTAATGACCTACAAAGAGACTTAGACTCCCGTACAATAATAGTGGGAGACTTTAACACCCCATTGTCAATATTAGACAGATCAACAAGACAGAAAATTAACAAGGATATCCAGGACTTGAACTCAGACCTGGACCAAGCAAACCTAATAGACATTTACAGAACTCTCCACCCCAAATCCACAGAATATACATCCTTCTCAGCACCACTTCACACCTACTCTAAAATTGACCACATAATTGGAAGTGAATCACTCCTCAGCAAATGCAAAAGAAGGGAAATCATAACAAACAGTCTCTCCGACTATAGTGCAATCAAGTTAGAACTCAAAATTGAGAAACTAACTCAGAACCGCACAGCTTCATAGAAACTGAACAACTGGCTCTTGAATGTTGACTGCATAAACAATGAGATGAAGGCAGAAATAAAGATATTCTTCAAAACCAATGAGAACGAAGACACAACATACCAGTATCTCTGGGACACATTTAAAGCAGTGTCTAGAAAAAAATATATAGCAATGAATGTCCACATGAGAAGCAAGGAAAGATCTAAATCTGACACCCTATTGTCAAAATTGAAAGAGCTAGAGGAGCAAGACCAAAAAATCTCAAAACCTAGCAGAAGACAAGAAATAACTAAGATCACAGCAGAACTGAAGGAGATAGAGACACACAAAAAAAAACCTTCAAAAAAAATCAATAAATCCAGGAGCTTGTTTTTTGAAAAGATCAACAAAATAGGCAGACTACTAGCCAGATTAATAAAAAAGAGAGAATAATCAAATAGATGCAATAAAAAATGATAAAGGGGATATCACCACAGATTCCACAGAAATACAAACCATCATCAGAGATGATTACAAACATCTCTATGCACATAAACTAGTAAACCTGGAAGAAATGGATAAATTCCTGGACACTTGCATCCTCCCAAGCCTAAACTGGGAAGAAGCTGAAACCCTGAATAGACCAATAACAAGGTCTGAAGTTGAGGCAGCAATTAAGAGCCTACCACCCAAAAAAAAAGCCCAGGTTCAGATGGATTCACAGCCGAATTCTACAAGACATACAAAGAGGAGCTGGTACCATTACTTATGAAACTATTTCAAACAATCCAAAAAGAGGGAATCCTTCCCAAATCATTTTATGAGACCAACATCACCCTGATATCAAAACCTGGCAGAGACTCAGCAAGAAAAGAAAACTTCAGGCCAATATCCATGATAAACATAGAGGCAAAAATCTTCAATAAAATACTGACAAACCGATTGCAATAGCACATCAAAAAGCTTATTCACCATGATCAAGTAGGCTTCATCCCAGGGACGCAAGGCTGGTTCAACATACGCAAGTTTATAAAAGTGTTTCACCACATAAACAGAACCAAAGACAAAAACCACATGATTATCCCAATTGATGCAGAGAAGGCCTGTGACAAAATTCAACAGTGCTTTATGCTAAAAACCCTCAAAAAAGTAGGTATTGAAGGAACGTATCTCAAAATAATAAAAGCTATTTACGAAAAACCCACAGCCAATTACATACTGAATGGGCAAAATCTGGAAGCATTCCGTTTTAAATCTGGCACTCGTCAAGGATGCCCTCGCTCACCACTCCTATTCAATATAATATTGGAAGTTCCAGCCAGAGCAATCAGACAAGAAAAAGAAATAAGGAGTATTCAAATAGGAAAGCAGGTCAAATTGTCTCTATTTGCAGACAACCTGATTGTATATCTAGAAGACCCCATCGTCTCAGCCCAAAATCTCCTGAAACTGATAAGCAACTTCAGCAAAGCCTCAGGATACAAAATCAATGTGCAAAAGTCACAAGCATTCCTAAACACCAATAACAGACTTAAAGAGAGCCAAATCAAGAATGAACTGCCATTCACAATTGCTACAGAGAGAATAAAATACCTGAGAATACAACCAACAAAGGATGTAAAGGACCTCTTCAAGGAGAACTACAAACCACTGCTCAACGAAATAAGAGAAGACACAAACAGATGGAGAAACATTCCACATTCATGGTTGGGAAGAATCAATATCATGAAAATGGCCATACTACCCAAAGTGATTTACAGATTCAACACTATCCCCATCAAGCTACCAATGACCTTCTTCACAGAACCTTCTTCACCTTAAACTTCATATGGAACCAAAAGAGAGCCTGCATAGCCAAGTCAATTCTAAGCAAAAAAAAAAAAAAAAAAAAAAGGGGGCAGGCATCACACTAGTGGACTTCAAACTATACTACAAGGCTACAGTAATCAAAACAGCATGGTACTGGTACCAAAACAGAGATATAGACCAATCGAACAGAACAGAGGCCCCAGAGGCAACACCACACACCTACAACCATCCGATCTTTGACAAACCTGACAAAAACAAGCAATGGGGAAAGGAGTTCCTGTTTAATAAATGGTGTTGAGAAAACTGGCTAGCCATGTGCAGAAAGCAGAAACTGGACCCCTTCCTGACACCTTACACTAAAATTAACTCCAGATGGATTAAAGACTTAAACATAAGACCTAACACCATAAAAACCCTAGAGGAAAACGTAGGCAAATTCATTCAGGACATAGGCATAGGCAAGGACTTCCTGACCAAAACACCAAAAGCATTGGCAACAAAAGCCAAAATAGACAGATGGGACCTAATCAAACTCCACATCTTCTGCACAGCAAAAGAAACAGTCATTAGAGTGAATCGGCAACCAACAGAATGGGAAAAAATTTTTGCATTCTACTCATCTGACAAAGGGCTGATATCCAGAATCTACAAAGAACTAAAACAGATTTACAAGAAAAAAACAAAGAAGCCCATTCAAAATTGGGCAAAGGACATGAACAGACACTTTACAAAAGAAGACATACATGAGGCCAACAAACATATGAAAAAATGCTTATCATCACTGGTCATTAGAGAAATGCAAATCAAAACACACTGAGATATCACCTCATGCCAGTTAGAATGGCAATCATTAAAAAAATCTGGAGACAACAGATGCTGGAGAGGATGTGGAGAAATGGGAACACTTTTACACTGTTGGTGGGAGTGTAAATTAGTTCAACCATTATGGAAGACAGTGTGGCGATTCCTCAAGGACCTAGAAATAGAAATTCCATTTGACCCAGCAATCCCATTACTGGGCATATATCCAAAGGATTATAAATCGTTCTGCTCTAAGGACACATGCACACGAATGTTCATTGCAGCACAGTTTACAATAGCAAAGACCTGGAACCAACCCAAATGCCCAACAATGATAGACTGGACAGGGAAAATGTGGCACATATACACCATGGAATACTATGCAGCCATCAAAAATGATGAGTTGATGTCCTATGTAGGGACATGGATGAACCTGGAAACCATCATTCTCAGCAAACTGACACAAGAACAGAAAATCAAACACCACATGTTCTCACTCATAGGTGGGTGCTGAAGAATGAGAACACATGGACACAGGGAGGGGAGGATCACACACTGTGGTCTGTCAGGAGGAAATAGGGGAGGGACAGCAGGGGGTGGGGAGTTGGGGAGAGATAGCATGGGGAGAGATGCCAGATATAGGTGATGGGGAGGAAGGCAGCACATCACACTGCCATGTGTGTACCTATGCAGCAATCTTGCATGTTCTTCACATGTACCCCAAAACCTAAAATGCAATAAAATAAATAAATAAGAAATTTTTAAAAATCAGGCATTGTTAGTCTACTGCCATATTAAAAGAAGTTTGAACAATATTTAACAAATTATCAGCCAGAATTGTATGTGCCATGTGTCAATTATTATTCTAGTCCATGTCCTTTTAGGTGTTTAAGAATATTCCTTATTTTCTGCCTTTTTAATTACATATTCTTATACCATTCTTTCCCTAACAAGAACTATACTTTCTATTAGACGTTTTACATACAATTTAAACTATGTTTTGAAATTTTCTTTGTGCCAAAACTTTCATAAAGTAATAACATTTTAAAATTCAAATACTAACTATTAGATTTCTTTCTTAAGTTTCTGAGCCTATTGAGGAAACTACAGTAGAAACAGAAATCCCAAAAGGATCCAAAGAGGACCTGGAAACTGAAAAATTATCTGAAACAGGTTAGACTGTAAAATGAAAGTAGCTAGAGCGTAAACGTGCTTTTTGTATTTTCTTATTTAGGCATAGTAGCTGCTTTGTACTCTTTTTTTCTGCGTTTTATGCTAATTGACAGACATAAATATTTGGCTTACTCTATTAAAAGTGTATCAAACCAGATTATAACACTGGTTTTCACACAAATTTGTTTTATACATTTTTTTTAACAGTTAAATTTTCCTTAAGAAACTCATATTACTTATCCAAAAACTTGAGTTTTACTAACAATAAATATAAATCTACAGAAAATATAAGAACAAAGTGTAATTAAAATATGAATTTATGAATGCATATTGTTGCTTAGAATATTGTTTATTTTTTCAACTGTTTAAAAAATATTGCAAAGCATAAATTATTTTGGCAATATGTCTAAAGATATATTTAAAACCTCTCTTTTCTTTCCTGTGTCTTTTACTCAAAAGTGGTACTACCTGAGTTTCCAGAAGATGCTTATCCTGATGTTCCTGAAATGGAGCCTTTTAAGGAGAAGACTAATTCTTTCAGCATCCTCTGGAAACAACTGGAAGCAACAATTAGTGAAGCTAACATCAAAATTTTAAACTTGGAGATTTCTGGCAGAACTCCACAGGAATTACTTCAAAAAGTCGTTGAGACTATGGAAAGTAAGGGCTTTCATCATAACATTTATTATCAAGAGTAGGTGATAGTATTAGAAGCATTTGAAAACTTGAACACCTTCCTTGATGGTTTATGAATAAATTGTTCAATATATCCAAGGGTAATGTATAAAATACTTAGCAACTATCACAGCACAGGCCCTGACCAATCAGAACAGCCATGCAGCCTAAACACCCCTGGCCATACTGGCCAGTTGTCACATAAAGAATTGATAAAGGCCATTTGCATACATATTTAATCTAAGAGATTAATAATTATAATTAATTTTCCTAACCTTTGACTACAGTAATATGCTAATAACCTTTTTTGCTAAAAAATATTTTCCCCAATGATTCTCTTTGTTTTTTCTCCAGAACCATTTCAATATACTGCACGGGAGTTAACTGGGGAAGATTATGAGGAAGAAACAGAAGACTACCAGACTGAGGCAGAGGTCGATGAGGAGCTAGAAGAAGAGGAAGATGAAGAGGTATGATTCTTTTATTACTACTCATTCTCATTTGTGAAGTTATTGAAAATGTGCAAATAAAAGTGGTAACTATCACTTTTGGACCCCAAGTGAACAGCCATTCTCATTTGCACACACATTCTCCCCTGCCTCAGCTTCACTTGACCCCCTGAAATTCCAGGGCTATATAGTGTGAAAAAAACTCTCACAAAAAGATAAAAGGAAACTATTTTAACTTTTTTTCATGGAAAAAAGTATTGGTTTTAAATTCATAAATATTTTTTAAATGTAGCAGAAGCAGATGTTGTAAGTAAAAGAGGCTGCTTGCATGACAATAATATGCAGTGTTCTTGGGTAGGAGCACCCCATATTCAGGCCCCATCCACTCCCTTGACATCAGAATTTGGACAACCATTCTCATCTTATAGCTGCCCAGTTCACATATCAATCAGTAATGAAACGGGAAGTGGTTCTTTTAAGTTTTATAAATAAAAAGTAATATTATTAAATTATGTAAACATAGACTTGTGATTAACTGGGTTAAGTTGCCTCACTTAAACCCAAATATACATGTGTCAAACAACAAACAATATGTAGTGTGATTCTGATAACAGCTTTTAGTACTTTATCACTAAGGAACTGAAGAGACTTTTGGGATGGCTAAAGGATGTGAGTTTTGTCTCGCTCAGATCAGATTCTCTGCCTTCATCATCCATCCTCTGCCATGTCTGCTGCTGTTCTTCTGTGTCCCACTCTGGCCTGCCATAAAAAAAATCTCTGGTATTTGCAGTTATCAAGCCGGCTACAATATGCAAAGCTTTTATTTTAAAGTATGGTCTTCGTTAGTAATACAGGGGGAAAAAAAAAAACTCCCAATTCACAGAGCATTTGGTAGGGTATTAACAAGGGTCTAGCCTCAAGAATGAGGAATAACTAGACCTAGCATAAATGAAACTTTGGCCCCACCTATCAAAAAGCAAGAGCCAAAAGGATCAAACTGCTTCCAAGTAACCTAACTGTGTCCAAGAACAATGCCCAAGACTATTTATGGGAATACAAAGTAAAATTCTAGCAGTCACTGAAAGATTACCAGACTTACAAACAGGCAGAAAAATATGACTCACAATAAGAAGAAAAAGTAATCAACTGAAATGGATTCAGAACTGACAAAGGTGTTCTTAGAATTATATGACAAGGACAGTAAAACAGTTGTTATTTTACATGTTCAAAAATTTAAGCAGAGATATAGAAGATATAATAAAGACCTAAATTGAAATTTTAAGATTGAAAAGTACAATATATGAAATGAAATTGTGGAAGACAGTGTGATGATTCCTCAAGGATCTACAACTAAAAATAACATCTGACCCAGCAATCCCATTACTGGATGTATACCCAAAAGTTTATAAATCATTCTATTATAAAGATGCATGCATGAGTATGATTATTGCAGCACTATTCACAATCGCAAAGACTTGGAACCAACCCAAATGCCCATCAATGATAGACTCTATAAAGAAAATGTGGCACACATACACCATGTAATACTATAGCCATAAAAAAATGAGTTCATGTCCTTTGCGGGGACATGGATAAAGCTGGAAACCATCATTCTCAGCAAACTGACACAAGAAGAGAAAATTATGTTCTCATTCATAAGTGGGTGTTTAACAATGAGGACACATGGACACAGGAAGGGGAACATCACACACCAGGGCCTGTCAGGGGGTGGGGGGCTAGGGGAGGGATAGCAGGGGTTAGGGAATAGGGAAGGGATAGCATTAGGAGAAATACCTAATGTAGATGACCGGGTGATGGATGCAGCAAACCACCATGGCACATGTATACCTATGCAAAAAACCTGCACATTCTGCACATGTACCCTAGAATTTGAAGTATAATAATAAAGAAATTTTAAAAAAAGGAAATGAGATATACATTAATGGTATGACTGTAGTTTATCCACTGCAAGAGAAATAGCAATGGAAACTATCCAAAATGAAACAACAGAGGAAAAAGATTCTAAAAGAAAATGAGAAGAGCATCAGAGATCTGTGGAACAACTTCAAGCAGCCTGTTACACAAAATGCTTGGTACTAGAGTGTTTTCAGTTTTAGACATTTTCAGATTCTTGAATATTTGCACAATGCATACCATTGAGCATTCCTAATCTGAAATCCAAAATGCTACAGTAAGCATTTTCTTTAAGTGTCAGATCAGTGCTCAAGAAGTTTCAGAGTGTAGAGCATTCCAAATTTCAGATTTTTTGATTAGTGATGCTCAACGTGTACATATAGTTCAGATCCACAGAAAGCATGTATGAGATGGACTGAAGAAATAATGGCCAAATTTTTCTAAATTTTGAAAAAATTACAAACTCTCAGATCCAATATGCCCAATAAATCAGTATGACCAAGCACAAGAAACATGAAGAAAATATTATAATAGTACCAAGTACATCATATTCAAATTGATCAAAACCAGTTTTTAAAATAAAGGAGAAAACAGATATGCCACATACACAGGAACAAAGATAAGAATGACAACATACTTCTCATCAAAAACAATGCAAGAAGAGAGTGGGGTAACATCTTTAATGTATTGAAGGGGAAAAAACCTGTCAGCCTGGCACAGTGGCTCATGCCTATAATCCCAGTGCTTTGGGAGGCCAAGGCAGGCACATTGCTTCTGCTCAGGAGTTCAAGACCAGCCTAGGCAACATGGCAAAACCCCATCTCTACAAAAAACACAAAAATTAGCCAGCCATGGTAGTGCACACCTGTTAAGTCCTAGCTACTCAGGAGGCTGAGGTGGGAAGATTGCTCGAGTCCAGGAGGTTGAGGCATCAGTAAGCCGAGATTGCACCACTGCACTCCAGCCTGGGTAACAGAGTGAGTCCCTGTCTCAAAAAGAACATAAAATAAACTGTCAACCCAGGATTCTATATCTATTGAAACTCTCTTTTAAAAACAAAGGCAAACTAAAGACTTTGTTAGACATACAAAAGCTGAAAACAGCCAGACACAGCTGGCTTCCCTGATGAATTCTGCCAAATGTTGAAGAAAAAAATAAAACCAATTCTATACAGACTGTTCCAGAAATTTGAAGAGGAGAAAATACTTCCTAGTCATTTTATGAGATCATTATTCTGATACCAAAACCAAAGACATTGAAAGCAAGAAAAGAAAAACAAACTGCAGTCTAGTATCTCATTAACATAGATACAGATATTCTTAACAAAATTTTAGCAAATCAAACCTAAAAATACACAAAAAGAATAATACACCATGACCAAATGGGGTTTATCCTGGAAATTCAAGGTTAGTTTAATGTTTGAAAAACAATCAATTTAATTCATCATATTAACAGAGTAAGGGGAGAAAACATGATCACCTTAATAGATATAGAAAAAGCATTTGACAAAATTTAACATCTATTACTTGTAAGAAAAAGTAAATGAAAGAATTTCCTCAGCTTGATAAAGAGTATCTACAGAAAGTCTCCAACAGCTAATACTTAAGGGTAAAAGGCTGAATGCCTTTTTCCTGATCTCAGGACAAGGAAAGGATATTCACTCTCACCACTTCTATTCAACACTATACTGAAGGTTTGGCTACTGCATTCGGACAAGGAAAAGAAATAAAAGGCATTCAGACTGTAAAGAAAGACATAGCTCTCTTTATTTGTAGGAGACAATATTTTCTACTGTGATAGGCAGAATAATGGCACCCCAAAGAAGTCCATGTCCTAAGCTGTGAATTGGCATCTGTGAATGTTAACTTATATGGCAAAAGAGACTTTGCAGATGTGATTAAATTAAGGATCCTGAGTTGAAGGTGTTACCATGGATTATTCATATGGACCAATGTAATCACAAAGGTCCTTATAATAGGGACACAGGAAGTCAGAGAGAAGGTACTTTGAATCTGGCTTTGAAGATGGAGAAAAGGGTCATGAGCCAACCCTAGAAGCTGGAGAGGGAGGAATGAATTCTCCCCTGGGGCCTCCAGAAGGAATTAACCCTGCCGACACATTCACAGTAGTCCCTTAAAACTCTCTGAGCTTCTGATCTCCAAAACTGTAAGAAAATAAATGTTTGTTGTTTTAAGCCACTATATTTGTGGTAATTTGTTAAGCAGCATTATGAAATTAATACTTCTATGTAGGAAAGCCAATGGAATCAACAAAAAAGCTACGAATTAATGAATTTAGCAAAGCTTCGGGACATAAAATCAATATACAAAAATCCATTTTCTTTCTATGTGTAAGCAATAGACAATCAGAAATTGATTTTTAAATGCCTTTCAAAATACCATCAAGAATATGTAATACGAAAGGATAAATTTAGCAAAAGATGTCCAGGAACAATACACTGAAAACTACAAAACTGAAAAAATTGAAGAAAGCCTAAATAAATGGACAGGCAGATATATCATGGCTGAGCATGGTGGCTCACGTCTGTAATCCCCGCAATTTAAGAGGCTGAGTCAGCTGGATCACTTGAGGTCAGGAGTTCAAAACCTGCTTGGCCAACATGGCAAAACCCCTTCTCTACTGAAAATATAAAAATTAGCTGGGCGTGGTGGCATGCACCTGTAATCCCAGCTGCTGAGAAGCCTGTGACGCAAAAATCACTAGATCTCAGGCAGTGAGCCGAGATTGTGACATTGCACCCCAGCCTGGGTGACAGAGAGAGACTCCGTCTCAAAAAAAAAGTAGATATACCATGGTCATAGGTCAGAAGACTTAATATTATTAAAATATCAATTCTCCCCAAATTTATCTACAGATTCCATATAATCAAAATTAAAAACCCAGCAACTGTTTGGTAGAAACTTATAAATTGATCCTAACATTCATGTGAAAATGCAGAAAATAATGAAAACAAATTTTAGAAAGAATAACAAAGTAAGAGAATACTGTTTGATTTCAAGATTAATTAAATATAAATTTATAGTTATCAAAATAATGTCATTGGCACAAGACAGCAAATAGATTAATAGAACACAAGAGAGTCCAGA